GATGGACAGTGAGGGGCATTGTCCCGGGATCCCGAGGCCCTTGGTACGAGGTTAGGGTCCAGCCGTGTGGGCACACCCTCTGCTCTCCAGGCGACTCAGTGCCCCGCACGACTGTGCACTCGTCCCTTAGGACCTCAGAGGCCGGCGGTCAGGAGGGCAGGTCCGGAGCCGCCTTCCCCTCTGTAAGGGTGGAGGCTCCTTCTGGACCCCAGTTTCCGGCATCCTGCCGATCCTGGGTTTCGAGGGCCCTGGAAGGGGGGACCAGTTCTTCTGGCCGGTGAGCCGGGTTGAAGCCGCAGCCTCTGAACACCTCTCCCTCAGCCCCCGAGCCCCACAGAGTCAGGTCAGGGCTTGCTGGAGTCAGAAGGGGGCTCGGGCTTTATCGGGCCATCCCCTCCGTCAGGTGCGGAAAAGCGCCCTGACCCCACGGAGCTCCATTCCAGCGGGGAAGACCGACCTTCATAAGAACAGAAGGAGTGGGGCATGGGGGCTGTGAGGGTACATCGGGGCAGCCTGACCACTAACAGCCCCGGAGGAATAAGACTGAGGGTGCCCCAGCCTGGTGGGGCAGCCAGAGCACAGACCCGCAGCCCCAACGCTGATCCCTGATGGGTCCGCCAGACCTGAAGGTTTCCAGGGGCTGCGAACTCCTGGGATGGCCTGGCTTAGTCCCACATGCCCCCGGAGGAGGGACACGGTGCCGAGCCCTCGGCTGGGGTCTGGGGAGTGCTGGTCCGTGTCCGTGTGGAGCTGGCCTCCGGCAAGAGCAGCCCAGGGCTCCTCTGGGCCGGGGGGGTCTGTGGTGGCTGGGCTGAGGGCCTGCAGGAGGGCCCGAGGGCTGGAGGAGTGTATGAAGCCTGCAGCCACTGAGGGGGCATCCTGGGAGAGGCTGTGAGGATGGGCCCCTGGCGGGCCTGGCTCCTGGTGCCCTTTCGTGTGGTGTGGGGAGCCACAGAAGTCTCTGGAGAGGGGCAGTGGCCGGAGCAGGGCTGTGCTTTCTGAGGGTGTCTGGCGGTGGCAGTGAGCGGGTGGGCCGGTGCTTTGTTCTTTGAAGCAGATCCTAATTCCCTTGTTGCCTCTGATGCCCGAGACCCCCCACGTCCGCCTGTGGCTGCAGAGCGTGGCCGCCGGCACCCACGGGTGGTGGCAGGGGCCCGGACCGCACTGGCGCCGGCCTCCGGCAGGCACGCGATGCCTGCTTGGTGATTCAGAATCCCTGCAGTTTCCCTATTTCCTGATGAGTAAACAGGTCGGGCTGAGGACCCTCTAGCTTCTGTTTCCTGAGCCACAGAGAACGCCAGGCCGGCCCCTCACCCCTGCCCCCTTCCCGCCCAGCCTCTGGCTCGCACACAGGCTTCCTGTCCCTCCATCCGGCAGACATTCCTGGCTGCAAAAGGCCTGGCTGGGTGCGGGAGGGGCTGGGCGCTCGCGTGTGCAGGCGTGTGCACGTGCGCGGACGTGGAGAGAGCGGCCCAGGCTGCTGGAGCTGGGTCAGGGTGCGTCCCTGCGTGGAGAGGGAGGGAGGAGTCTTCCCACTGGGGTCTAGCTGCCGAGTGGGGAGGACTGAGTGACCCTGTCTCCATGGCAAAGACAGATCTGGAAACGGCACAGAGAGAGAGAGAGACGGGGAAGGAGACAGACAGACAAGGGAGACACAGGGCAAGGCAGCCCCGGGCACAAGCTAAGACACTCGGCCCGGTGAGCCGAGTGCGGCCGGAGTTCCCCTCCCGCGCCACACCTGAGGATGGATTCCCTAGTGCAGTCAACACACCGCACGACTGTGCTGTACCCGACAGCCTTGATATAGGAAAGGAAGGAGAGAGACAGAAAGACACAGACCAAGAAACTGATGGAGGAAGAAAAAAAAAAAAGGCAGAAAGCAAAGAGTTTTTGATGAGGAACAAGACAGAAACAAAAAGAGGCAGAGAGCCTAGAACGTGGGGGATTCTGTTTCTGCACCAGCGCAGGTCCTCTGAGCTGCTTCTGGTCTGAGGCTCTGTTCCGGGGCGGTCACGGGAACTGGCAGTCCCAGCCCTCACAGCACCCTGTGAGATGCGGGGGTTATTCTCCCATTTTACAGAGGGGGAAATGGAGGCTGGAGGCCCACGGGGCTCGAGGGATGTGCTCGGAAGTGACAACTTGTAAGCCCTAGAAGCTTTGGATTCCAAGATGAGAGGGAGGACAGAGAGCCGGAGAGGAGAGGAGGGGCCACCGGGACCCAGCAAGGCGCTGGAGGTGGTGCTCAGGCTGGGGGCTGGGGGGAAGCAGAACCCAAGCGGTCCAACTCATCCGCCGCCTTTGGCTTCAAGACATACCTGGCGGGCAGCCCGTGGTTCTGAGGGATCAGGTTTTGTGGGGGGTCTGGCCCCTCCCCACCCCCACTTCCCTTCTCTGTGCCAGCAGCTAAGGCCCCCTTCCCCGATCAGCCTGGGGGTTTTTCAGTTCCGAGCAAAAAAAAAAAAAAAACCAAAAAGAACGAAAAACAAGAAACAGCTTTTCTTGGAATTAATGCTCAAAGGGCCAAGGGCGCCAAGGGCAGTGGGGACAGGGATGGGCTCAGGAGACCCGGGACCCCAGCCGCCATCCTGGTGACCGCGAACGTAACTCCTGTATTAATCCTGGGGACAGCCCTACAAAGGGAAGTGCTATCATCCCCATTTTACAGACCAGGGAACTGAGACCTGGCGTTCATCGCCCAGCTCAGAGGGTGTCCTTCGCTGCTCCACCTCCTGGAGAAGAGCCCTGAGGAAGCCCTCTTGCTCTCTGCCTCCTACAGAAACGGATCACCTCCTGCCCACTGGGAGCGCGGACCCAGAGTCATTTCCCTCCTGCTAAGGGGGCCGGGGCACCAGGAGGGCAGGGCTCCCCACCAGAGGGAACCCGGCTGCGGCTGGGGGCTCGGGGCCTCGGGGGCCGGGGCCTGGCCGGGGGCCCAGCTGCCTTGCATCTCGAGGTGGAGGAGAGGAGACTGACTGTAAACGCATCCCGGTTCCCACGCCTCTGGTCTGTCCCTGTGGCAGCTCCCCGTTCCGCCTCCCCCCCCCCCCCGCCCCCTCCCGGCTCCCCCTCTGCATAACTGAGGCTGTTACACAGAGATGCAAAGCCCCTGGGATTCCCGGGTGGGCCGGATTGATGGGAAGCGTGGTTGGGGTGGGGAGGCTGCCGCACTCTGGGTCTTTGCTGCTGCTGGCTGTGTGGCCCCGGGTGGGGGACTTACCCGCCCTGTGTCCTCACCTGTAGAGGGGGTACTGCACCCACCACCGTGGATTTCATACGCAGCTCCCTGCCTTTCTCCACGCAGTAGATGATGCCTTCTTGTGAGGGCAGGTGGGGGCCTACAGGGAGGGGGAATGGGGCGCCCTCAGGGACCGCAGTGTGGGCCCCGGGGCAGGACAGGGCCGGACGGGAGTCAGAGCTGTCTGGTTCAAACCCCCGAGAGGGGAGTGTGTGCAGGCACATGGGCCCCGATGCTGGTGGGCCTGGGGGTGTTAGGGAAGGACAGGCCAGGGCCTCAATTCCCCCAGCCCCTTGGGGACAAAGTCTCAGATGGAAACAAGCTGGGGGACCAGGCTGGGGCTCTGGGCTCCTGGTCAGGCCTGTGTTCCTTCCCTCCTCAGGGGCTGAGGTCCCTCAGGCCAACCGCTTCTCCTCCCTCCCGGGATCCCCCACCCTCCCTCCCTGCGGACCACCCACTGGTGGTGGACCCACCCGGGCTCCAGTCCCACTGCTGACCAGCTGGGGCCTCCCCTGCATTCCGGGAACGGAGGCCCTCTGGGAAAACAATCTCCCCCACCCCTGCAGCCAGCTAATCTCTGGTTGTCAGGGCCCAGCCCTCCTCATGCCCCCCTGCCCACCTCCTGAAGCCCTCAGGTGAACCATTTCCTCTAGAAGTTGGTCTGGGAGGCAGTGACTGTCCACAGGGCTCTGACCTGTCTCCACGGGGTAGGTCCCACTGCAGCCTTGAGCTCTGGCGACAGATCCAGGAGGGGGGGGGGTCCCTGTGGGGCTGGATGTGAGGCTCACCCAGGGGTCAGGGTGACGACCTGAATCCATTCAGACTGAGCCCCAGTGAGGACAGCGAGGGTCCACGGAGAGGTCAGCGTGGAGAAGACCTTGGGGTGGAGAGGGGGTATGTGTGAGGGCTCGGGGCCCTGCCAAGGGAGGGCCAGGCAGGGAGGGGTCAACTGGGTGCTGACGGGGATGGCCCTGGAGGTGGGCCCCACACCTGGGAAGGTGGCCGGTGCAGGGCAGGGTGGAGGGGATAGTTTGGGGGTGGCGGGAGAAGGGACGATGTGGGGGGTGCCCTGGGACAGACCGGTGACCCCGTCTGAAGGACACTTCCGACTGGCCAGGCTCTCTGAGGACAGGCTGTTTCGTCTGAAGCCCTTCAGAGGGGGACCACGGTGCTCAGCTCAGAGACAACCTAACAGAAAGAGGCTTCTGGCCCTGCCCCCTGCACCCCACCTTCTGAATTCAGGGTGTCGGGAAGAGGGAGCCCATGACCCTGCTCTCCTCCCCCACATCACACATTCTAGCCAGGCTCTATTTCCTGTTTTCAGGCTCCGTATCCTGAGCGCTGGGATCCCCCAGGACGCTCCCTGGCGCCCCCCAGGCCCCTGGGCCCAGGGCCTAGCCGCCCTGCCCCTTGGCTCAGCTGAGCTTCTCAGGCTGCAGGAGGCCATAGAGGCCTGGTGAGTTACTGGAGGACCGAGGTTGGTTGGGGGAGCACAGAGAAGGCTAGGGGTGGACACGTGCCCCAGGGGAGCGGTGACAGGGACACCAGCCAGAGGACCAAAGGGAGGAAAGCCCGTGGGCCGGGGGGGGGGGGGGGGGGGGCAAGAGACAGCAGGAGGCATTTTGGGGCCGAAGCAGAGGGCAGCATGGGGTTAAGTCAGGGAGCACCTCTCTCAGACCTGGAGGGCTGGAGCGCTGCCGCCGCCGCCGGGGACCCTGGGAGCGTGTGGGTGGGGGGCATGGGGTGGGGCCAGGCAGCAGGCATTCCAGAGATACTCAGGGGGGGCCAGGGGCCAGCAACCACGGCCTTTCTCTCTTCTCGGGAAAATTATAAGCAGATGTGGGCGCCTCGGGGAGGCAGAGAGCAAGGAGCCAGGACAAGTTGTAGGAACACTGAACCCAGAATCTGAAACAGGCTGCGGGGGTGGCCTCTCAGGAGCCCAGCCCCTCCTGAGCTCAGGAGCCACAACAGACCCTGCTGAGGTCCTGACCTGCTTCCCACCCACTGGGCGAGGCCGGGTTGGAGGGGGCGGAGAGGAGCTGTTTCCAGATGGCCGATGGGGTGGCCAGAGGGAGGTGGGGGCTGCTTCTGTCCGAGGCCGGGTTGGGGACGTCCTCGGGCAGTAGTCCCCGGAGCTGGGTACGGAGGTGCCCTGGCCAGGGTTTAACAGGTGCCTCTGGCGGGTGCGGATGAGGCTGCCCCTGGTCTGCGGTGTTGGCCCATGTCCCCCATGGAAGTAATTCCCCGAGCCTGATTTCTAGCTCCTGATGTGTCGTCTGTGAGCGGGGAGCTGGGCAGAGACGCGCACCGTTGGCTCCCGCGAGCCCAGGCGAGCAGGTGCCCGCACGCCCGTGGTCAGGAGGGGCCTCCTTCAGGGCCACCCGGTCCCGCCCCAGCCCCGCGCCTCCTGTGGCCGCTCTCCACCTGCACACATGCGGGCCGGGAAGCCCCCCACTTGAGGCGGCCGGCCGACTCCCTTCCGGAACCTTGGCTGTTGGAAAGTCCTTCCTCCAGCTGAGCCCAGGTGGGCCTCCCCCCTGACTTCCCCGCTGGCCCCGGCCTCACACCTTGGTACCAAGGTCAGAGTGCCCTGGGCTGGGGCTCAGAGATACCAGGCAGGATCCCCGTCCCGGGAAGAGGCACTGGCTGGTGGTGTGTGAGTGAAGGGTGCTGGGAGGGAGGGGCAGGGGGGGGGGGGCACGGTCTGCAGGGAAGGAGGGGTGACGAGAAGAGAAGAGAAGGCAGGGGGACAAGAGGCAGCCGCCTCTGCAGACACGTGGTCCTCCGGGCTGTGGCTCTGCGCCGGTCCCCCGCTCTGCCCCTGGCCTCTGCGATGCCACCAGCTCTGCGTGCCCTCCTTCTCCTGGGCCTGGGCCTGCGGCTGGCTGGAGCCCTCAACCCCAGTGACCCCAACACCTGCAGCTTCTGGGAAAGGTGAGGGGTGCCTGCTCCCCGGGTCTCCTCCTCCTCTCCTTCCCAGCCTCCCTGTCCCTCTGCAGCCCTCCCCTCCCTCCTGGTTCTGCTCTCTGCTCCTCCAGGCCCCCCTGACTCCGGCTCTGACCCCGTCCTGTCCTTAACCACCCCCCCCCCCCCCCCCCGGCCCTCCTCCCCCTGTCCTGCAGCTTCACCACCACCACCAAGGAGTCTCACTCCCGCCCCTTCAGCCTGCTCCCCTCGGAGCCCTGCGACCGGCCCTGGGAGAGCCCCCACACCTGCCCCCGGCCCACGTGAGTGCCCACCCCACCCCGCACACCCTCATTCTCTCCTCGGAGACTCGGAGGCAGAGGCACTCAAGGCGTGGCTTGGGGAGGCTGGCGTGGGGTGCGCCGCGGGGTCGGGTGGGGGGCCTGGGGGGAACGCTCCTTCTGTGCTCCCCCGGGCCCAGAGCGGCGAGCGGTGCCCCTGCTGCCCCCGTGCCACGTGGTGGGCGGGGGCGGGGCGGGGCGGGGCGGGGCGGGGGACAGCCCGGCCGCAGCAGGGGGGCTGAGGGCCGCCTGCCTCGCGGTCTCCTAGGGTTGTCTACAGGACGGTGTACCGCCAGGTGGTGAAGACAGACCACCGGAAGCGACTCCAGTGCTGCCGGGGCTTCTATGAGAGCAGTGGGATCTGTGTCCGTGAGTCCTGGGGGGCCGTGGGGGGCCTCGTCCCCCCCTGCCGCCCCGGGTGTGTCCCCGGGACGGCAGCCGCCACTTGCTGCCTGTGTCTCCAGCTGACCCCGTGTGTCTCCCGCCCCTTCTCTCTGAGCCCCGGGGCAGCCTCTCTCTGTCACTGTGGGTCTGGGTCCATCGCTATCTCTTCTCATCCCTGTCTGTCTGTTGCCGTCTGTCTCTGACTTGTCACTGCCCAGTCTCTCCTGCACCCCCAAACTCCTGCCCCCCCCTCCGTCCTGCCTAACCCCCACCCAGCCCACCCCCTCTGCACAGCATCCATGTCTGGTCCCTACCTGAGGAGCCCCTGTGCCTTTTCCCAACAAGGTGCTTGGAGAATGTCACAGAGAGGGGCTGGGGAGCCTTGAGTCCTGGCCCCTGTCTTCTGCGTCTCAGAGGCAGAAAAATGCTAGTGCTTCTGGGGAGAGTCAGCCTGCCCCCCCCCCCCCGCCGCCCCGGGGCAGAAAAGGATGGGGGGGAGGAGTGTCACCCAGCAACACCCCCCCAAGAGGAGGATGGGCGGGTGGGGGCGGGGGAAGCACAACCCCCTCCCTTCGTCTCTGCCCCAGCGCTCTGTGACCAGGAGTGCGTCCATGGCCGCTGTGTGGCACCCAATCAGTGCGAGTGTGCGCAGAACTGGAGGGGTGACGACTGTTCCAGTGGTGAGTAGCCGGTGACCGCAGGTCCCAGGACCCCGGGCGGCGCCCTCCTTACCGCCCACGGGTGCTCACGCCCCGGGACAGTCACCCACAGGAGCCCCATAGCCACCACGGCCCTTTCGGGAGGGGGGGTGCTACAGGGCACGGGTGTGGGGGGCTGGGGGACAGAGCCCAGGGCTGAGTGGAGGCCAGGGAGGGGTGAGACCCCTGGTGACTCCCTTCTACCCTCCCCGCCCCCAGGGTGTGCCCCAGGAGTGTGGGGGCTGCAGTGTGACAAGCCCTGTCACTGTGGCAACGGCAGCTCCTGTGACCCCAAGAGTGGAGCGTGCTCCTGCCCCCCCGGCCTGCAGCCCCCACGCTGCCTGGAGCCCTGCTCCCCGGGCTACTATGGTCCCGCCTGCCAGTTCCACTGCCTGTGCCACGGAGCACCCTGTGACCCCCAGACGGGAGCCTGCTTCTGCCCCCCAGAGAGGACTGGGGCCAGGTGCATAATGGGGTCGCAGCCACAGGGCCCCACGAGCATACACAGGGATCCGAGGGGACTCAGGCTCCCAAACGGGATGGGATGCAGAGGCCAAGGTCCTCGGCCCAGCTCTGCCGCCTGCTAGCTGAGCGACCCTGAGCAGATCGACCCCTCATGGGCTTGTGCCTGTCTGTGAAGCGGGAACAGTGTCCTCCACCCGGGAGGCTTGCTGTGAAGACAGCCCAAGCCTGTGTGTGTGCGACCATGTTGCGAGGTGGGGCTGACACAGGGTCCCAGGCGGCCTGTCGGCCTGGCCTGTCGCAAGGAGGTGGAGGCAGAGTGGGGGGATGTGCACCAGGCGGAGGTCAAGAAGGGTCCGGCCTCACAGAGGAGCCAGGGAGGGGAGCCGTCCGGGCCGGAGCAGAGGTGCTGGGGGTGGGGGGAGTGCACAGGCTGTTCCCCTTCCCATCTGGCGGTGCTGGCTGTCCCCACCGCTTCTCTCCTCCTGGAAACCTTTGCTTTCTGACTCCTGCAGTCCCCAGCAGGGACCAGAGCCGGGAGCTCAGGACTTCCCCGGGGGGAAGAGGCGTGCAGGCGGCCAGCCCTGGGAGGCCCAGCCGGGGCGCGGGCTGCTTGTGTGCACACTGACCTCGACCGCTTTACCCAGCAGCTGTGAGATACCCTGTGTCCGGGGCACCGTCGGCTTCTTCTGCCCCAGCACCTATCCTTGCCACAACGGGGGCGTCTTCCAGGCCTCCCAGGGCTCCTGCAGCTGCCCACATGGGTGGATGGTAGGCCGGGGGGGGGGGGGTATGGGGGGGTTTGGGGCGGGGGGGGGGGTGGGTGCCCGGGAAGGGGGTGGGCTCTGGGGACCCTGCGGAGGTTTGAAGGGGGGGGGGGGTATGAAGGGGCCCTGTGCCCAGGGGGAGTGGCGGGCACCCAGGGCTCTGTCCACCTTCTGCCTCTCCAGGGCATCATCTGCTCCCTGCCCTGCCTGGAGGGCTTCCACGGACCCAACTGCTCCCAAGAGTGTCGCTGTCACAATGGTGGCCTCTGCGACCGCTTCACTGGGCAGTGTCGCTGCGCTCCGGGCTACACGGGGGATCGGTGAGTGGCTTCGGCGAGGGCGGGGGCCGGGCGGGGGTGGGCGCCGCCGGGGCTCATTCGGCCGGCGCCCAGGTGCCGTGAGGAGTGCCCCGTGGGCCGCTTCGGGCAGGACTGTGCGGAGACGTGCGACTGCGCGCCCGGCGCCCGCTGCTTCCCGGCCAACGGCGCGTGTCTGTGCGAACACGGCTTCACCGGGGACCGCTGCACCGAGCGCCTCTGCCCCGACGGCCGCTACGGCCTCAGCTGCCAGGAGCCGTGCACCTGCGACCCGGAGCACAGCCTCAGGTGCGCCGCGGGGCCCGCGCTCACGGGTGCCGAGGCTGGGGCAGGCCAAGCCCCAGGGCGGGACAGACGTCGCAGAAGGCAGAGGGAGGGGCCTCGGGGAGGGGGGCGGGGCGCGCTCGGAACGTCCCCCGTCCCCGGTTCCGCGAAGCCCCGCGCGCGCGGAGGGGCCGGGGGTGGGGGGGGGCGAGCCCGGGGGGGGGGCGGGGCCGGGCGCGGGCCCCGCAGCTCTGACGGCGCCGCCCCTCCCGCCCCTCCCGCCGCAGCTGCCACCCGATGAGCGGGGAGTGCGCGTGCCTGCCGGGCTGGGCCGGCCTGCACTGCAACGAGAGCTGCCCGCAGGACACGCACGGGCCCGGCTGCCAGGAGCACTGCCTCTGCCTGCACGGCGGCGTGTGCCAGCCCGACAGCGGCCGGTGCCGCTGT